GGAAATCGAAACCCGTTCAGTGGGTAAAAACTATTCATACGGAGCTCTATAACCTCAGACCCGGAGCCCTTCACACCATTCTGTGCTCACTATGCCTAATATATGCAAAGAGTTTCCGTCCAACACAGCGAGACAACTAACTAAGAACTGCGCGCGAAAAGACAACTGATAAAGATACCGCTCTTCTCGAGGGCTCAATCATATTCTCAGACTCTGTGCTGGGGTAGAGATCAGATGGATGGCGGACTTTGCACCTAAATACCCACGATCGCAAGCCCGCACGCTGCAGTGATTTTGGGCATTCGCCTAATCACCCAGTACAAAATTTAAGAATTACCCTTGAACTGCACTCTCTGATACGAGACGGGTGCAGAGAGAGCGGCAAGCCATTTGGTTATACGATCCCACACCTAGATTTATTAATTTATCGGATGATCCATGGCCTAGTATTGCTACATACCGAGTATTCACCTTCCCTAAAGCTTATTCCCATTTTTTCCCTCTCTGCATTCATTTAGCATATATGTATGTTCCTATATCGAGAGTGGGACAGGGGGAAGAGTGGTGCCATTGTACAGGCTACTGTAAGATTCTTGCTATTGACACTCAAGACTTGATAGGTGTAACAACAGGTTGAAGTCAGACCGTTGAATTAGTGAATGGATATGAAAACTTCGAAAATATTTAGTCTGGGTTCGATGAGAGCTTCACCAACTCTTGGTATCATCTGGAACGATCAAATGGACGATTTCTCTACGCCTGGTGTGCCGAATACATTCGGTTTTGCTCCGTCCGAAACGAATTTTATCAAACCGGGTAAACGGCCGATGAGCAGCATGAGCCCTATGGTCATCTACAATAAAACCAACAACGAAGTGAGTTTTTGTTGGATTTTTTGTAATGAGCTGGGTGGCACGACGGTTATGGCAGTGCTTTCTTCCCATATGAGGCAAAGGTTTCAGAAAACAATACTGTTCTACAATAGCTACATACCTTGACTGTATTCTAAGATCGACGGGGAGGTTCATTTCAAAAAATGCTCATTGAAGTTGAGAAAGTAATGAGATTCATCTATGAGCATTTTCAGGTTGTAATGGCTGTTGGGGCTTCTGGTGGATCATTCATCATATCAGCCACGGCCCAAGCAGTCATTCGTACAATTCTTTTCAATCAAACTGTAAAGGTAAAACTACTTGATAATTATCACCTCTTTGGAATTCGAAGGAATGTATTTAGTTTAATTGTAAAAGTAAACAAGTAAATATGGTCGAAAGGGAGTGGTATTGAAAGCAAACCATGCTGCCTGAACTGCTCTTCTCTCCTCAAAATCAACCTTTCTTCCAGAATTATGGAAAAAAAGGAACACAATTTTTTTCTTTTAAGAAGAGTTCAAAAACGTGCCTCCCAATGTCGTTGCTATCGTCCAGTTGAGAAAAGGCTCTAAGTATTCCAGGAAGCTGTCGATGCTCCCAGGCTGCATAACCAATACTTGCCACATGTTACACAGTACGAAAGGCAAATGCCGAAGGTTAGTAGTCTCTTACGTAGTCAAGATTACGGTAGCTTTAGGAGTTTACCTCTTGTTTGTGAATACCCACAGGGTCAAAATTTGGAGCGGGTCAACAAACCCGGTTAATAACTGTTCAGACAAATGACGGAGAGTGATAACAGTTGATAAAGAGTGATAAGGCGCTAGAGGAGGCACGATCACTGCATTTGTCATGCCCTTAGTACATATAACAGAGCCTTGATCCTTCGATGGATGATTGGGCTGTGACGGGATCGAAGGTTGATGATGATAGGAACTGATAACATTTGATAACGGTTAGTAAGGAGAACTAATAGGACGGAATTCAAGGAAATCATCACGAAGCTGATCGATGTGTATGAGCAGAACATGACAATGGTCAATAAGCAGCAATCGTCCGTACAAATTCTTGAAAAGCTTTCCGACGGTAAGCTCTGGTAGTTGCTTGAACAGGTTTTTGGGTTCCGTCCCCCAGCTTTTCGCCTTTTTCCAGCCGAACCATGTACCTAGTATCTACGCGCAAAATCAATGTCTATTTTATATTATTTGACTTTGCGCAATGGATTAGGGCACTTTTTCATTGCTGTTACTGTACAATACCTACTTATCATGCTTGTTTTAGGCTTTATCTATGGTAACAGCGATTTCCGACGAAAAACTCCCACGTATCCTGCCGGATACTAGGCAATGTGCACCCATTGCACAGTTCTTATTTGCAAATACTCTTAATTACTATCTAGTCAATCATGTTATTCTTATCTACTATGTTTGTTAGATCAGGGAAGTTTCTCTTCATTTTGGGGCTCTCTGAACCCTACTGATCAGGTACACCATCCCTCAGGGTATCCCAGTGTTTGCCATTTTCCGGAATTGTCGGGCCCAAATGACTTGGGAATGAGAAAGGCCGATGAAAGACATTGCGGACCATCTGCCGAATTTCTTGAAATGACTCAAGTGAGCGAGGAAGAATTCCTCGCGATAGTCCTGCGCAGCAATCCGCTTGGTCTGATGAAACCACCAGCTCAGATAGTGGTTAGCGGCGAGACAACTAGCTAGAAATCGCCCCGCGTAGTGGTCTGCTCACGCTAACGGTGTGACCACTGTCCCCACCTCCTAACCTGCGAAGTAATTGTGACATTCCAACCTGATCTGGCATAAACAGTGACCCATCTGTGAAGAACCATTTATAGTTGTTGACTGTAAATCCGAGGTAGATTTAAGAGCTGTAACAACGCGAGAAACTTAGATTTAATTGCTATTCGGGTTCATGTTTTCTTTTTGTACATAGATTGATTGGACCGACGACGACCCATTCCTCAAGAAATTTGTTATGAGGATATTGATCCTCTACAATGTTTTTTTTNGTTGTTAACAGCATTTCGCACATCCTATTATATAGTTAACGATTCGGTCTTCACCATTGATTTCTTAGCACCATATCGATTGGATGTCAGTAATAAATGTTTTTCTGTAGAAATCCGGCATCACTGAAAAACTTTGAATCGCAGAACCTTCGGCTAATTGCAGGCGACGGATTCCAAACAGGGTTATCAACTCAGACATTTAAATAATCGTATAGAGCTGTTGTAAGCTACTGTAGAGTTGTAGTGAATGACTGTGAGTCGGAAACAGTGACAGCGCAACTTTGATCATACGGAAAGCTTCATCGTAGCGACCAGTCTGAAGTAGCAATCAATCAGTAGAAGATCGTAGGAAGTATTCATGACCCATCCACTCACCTGAGTATTCAATAAAGCCAGATTGAAATGAGGCTCAAAAAGTTGTGGCGATTTTGCTATAGCCGAGTGGTACAGAGATCGAGCTTGGTCGAGTTTTCCTTAAAAAATCAAGGATCAATAGGTGTTTTGTAAATGTTCTTCACATTATTCTAAAGGTTCTGAAGTTTCTGGATGACCCTGAACGTCAAGGTTATCAGGATACTGGACAACAGGGAAACTGGGTATGGGTTACTTCTATCGGATAAAGGGTAAAAAGTGATAGGATTAAGAAAACTTCATAAAAGGTCATTTGTAGTTATTACCAGTTTTTCTGAAAATCAAAAAAGGGTAAAAGCGTGAAAGTAGCCCATGTAGACCATTGTGACCTCAAAAAGTTTAAATTGGCTCTAACGATTCGTCCCAAGCTCAGAACAAGCCGATTCTGACACCTCCGAGCTTTGGAGGAAAGCTGCAAATCTGTCTGTTACGTTTCTAGCCAGTACCCCATACCAGAAGGAAAACAAAATGAAATTAATGCGCTAACTACATTGATATCCCAACTTTCGAAAAAATTGAAATGCATGGCACATTATGAAAGGATGGGAAGCTCACCTAAAATCAAGAAAATTGAAAAGAAGTGGTGAAATTGATGATCATAGTCAAGCTTACCTTCCATTTGCCGGAGAATCCCCAGATTTACCATTGCTTCACCATGTTCGGAATCAGATGCAAGTGCCAATCGAAAGCAACGACTAGCCTGTCGTCTGTCGCCGATAGCCTTCAAAAAGTGTCGTAAGGCAGTCTCTTTCACTTTTTACCTCCTTAGGAAGTGCATAATTATTTTAGAGGTCATAAAAAATATTTGAAATGAGCTCTATGAAATGAAAAAGAGTGAGCATCGAAGTGAAGTCCCCGTCCACAAGTGCCGAAATCGTCCACATCAACCTCGGACAACTGTAGGTCTTATCCGCTACCTTTCCAGTACCTCCCCTACAGATCTCCTCTCTCTCTTCCAAACATCACCGTTGATGGAACAGTAGGAAATGACCTTTGGCTTTTTCTGTTGGACGGGCAGCCTCACAGACCTCCTAGTTTGGGGCAGGCTCAACCCAGCTCAACACCCTGCCGTCTGCATCGTTACTTTCACCCTCCAAGGAAGAACTCGCCTGACCATAAAGCGCATTTCATCTTACGC